ATTCTTCTGTTTCTGATTTCAAAGACCTTCTGATTGAAGGTTCGCTCAAAATGAATGAAGAAAACCAACAGAACCCTAAGAATCCATCAATTCAACACAAAGTGAAAGATGTTCGCCGTACATAAAAACGACGCTGTGTGGTTTTTTATAAAAATTTATCTGAACAATGCGAAAGGAAAATCGCCACCCGAAAAACTCCACAAGTCGCATTGATGTGCATCCAGTGCGATAAATGTATACGTTTATAATGTTTTTTATAAAATTTTCAATGCTTATATATCACAGAAATCGACATTGAATTTGGTTTGATTATTTTTATTCGATATCTTATAGAATTAAGATGTATCTGTTTTGATTTAGGAATCAGCTTTTCAATAAAAAAATTCACAATTTTTGTCAACGTCACTATTTTCATCACGTCAAATGACTCTTTATTAAATTCAACTGGTCAAACACAGAGATATGGCTGGCAGACCATGATTTCCCAACCAGCGTATATTTGAATTAATTCTGTGAGACCAGCGTGATCTCCTGATAGAATGTGAACTGAACTAGTGCGAGACCATTATGATCTCACACGGCCAGTCGGGCACAAAACAATGCGAGACCACATTGTTCTCACACGACACTCAACCTGTATAGTTAAATTTCTTTCGAAAAATTGGTAACTTATAAGTTGTTATTAACTTTTCAACACTAGCACAATTAATTTAACATCACTTGTATGTAGTTGAATGTGTAATGTTGATTTATTTTTATTCTTATTTCTGGGAAATCTCATTTCTTGTCAGATAATAATATTCATATAATGTATTTGTGAAACCCATTTTCATAATTTGATCATGAAATCGAACTAAGTTTCAAGTCAAAAATAAGAAGTAGTTGACTTGGAATAGTAACCTGGGAATTCAAATATATAAAATAAATATAATTCCTATGTATTCCATCTTATCAAATAATGTATATTCATGTCAGTATTCATTTAATATGTTCGAATATTGTATAAATAATTTAAGTATGGAATTGTTTATAACCAAAAAATCGTAATCTCAATTATGAAGTTAGGACAGAATACAGCATAGGCAATAACAATTGAGGTAAAATGAAAGATCATAGAAGTCAAGTTTATGCACGAAATTCATTCATGTTACATCAGAGATTGCTGTGAAATAAACCAAAAGAAATTAATTAAGAACAATTGAGAGAGACGCCCAGTTTAGGACAATTGGAGTTGAAATGAAATTTTGGAATATAAGGATTAAAAAAAATCAGTATGGAAAAATTTTGCATGATTTGAATAGAACAAAAGTCCTGGACTAATGTCATAGAAAAAATCAAGAGAGCTCGAAGATAGAGGTACCTCAAATAAAATTTTCATAATCAATTATATTAAAAGGCCATTTCAAATTTTAGTGATGAGTTGAATTTAGTTTTGAGGAGTTTTAATACTGAACAGATTTTGTTCCGTATTGCTACCTCTTTATGTTGAAATTGAAGAATGCGTATTCACATTTAACGGAGATATTTTTTTTAGAAATTGAATGTAAAAACATTCCCCTCTGGGAGAAATTCAAATGGATTCAAACTTTCATTATATAAAAAAATTTTACGTATTGGAAATTATATTGAATCTAATCGATAATAATAACAATAAAATCATAAAAAGAAAATGATAACAATATATATATATATATATATATATATATATATATATATATATATATATATATATATATATATATATATATATATATATATATATATATTGTTATTTTTCTATTTTATTTAATAGTCAATGACTCTCGATGAATGTTTAAAACTGAAACAAGAATTTATTCAATAAATACAATATTAACTTAATTCTAAAATATAACAAAGCTGAAACTAGAATCGAGAATTAAATGTCGATTGAATATTTATCTTGAGCTCTGCGTCCACAAAATATACAAACAGAATAGGTCAAAATAATATGTCGCGCCTTAAGTACTGTCAGACAGTTCACATAATAATATGAGAATCACAGAACGATACGAGCACAGGTACAAGGATTACAGAATTTGTGATATGGTCTCTACTGTAACATAATACACTAAATACTATAATGTCAGTGCATAGTGCACTAGATGGTGTTATATATATGTATATATATATATATATATATATATATATATATATATATATATATATATATATATATATATATATATATATATATATAATGGAATTATTAGCTGTTGATTATGTACAGCCAATGCAAAAAAATATGTATTCGGCCATTTTGTTGGCGGTCAGTTTTAATTCATCTTTTTTTTTCATGATATGCTGTGTTCTAATCATCAAGCTCTTTCATTTGACAGCAATTTTGAGGGGATTGTATAAAATAATGTAATTCCTTCTTTTGTAGAAGTTGGCATCTTGAATTTTCGATAATATAGAATTTATTGAATATTTTATTAGAATTTAACTACCATACCGAACTTCATATCAATTAATCTACTTCAAGAGGGTAATATTTCTATTACTAAATGTTACACAAACAAATGAAAAACTCGTCTATCTGAAAAAAACCGTTCAAAACATACAAGTCCCAACATTTATTCAAAAATTCATATAACAAAGATTGTCACATAGTTGATCATGTCCTTCTGAGTAATTCTTCCAATCAATTCCAATTTTGCAAATAAATGTCTCAATATTTTCTATAATAATTCAATGAGTGAATGCGTTTAGCATATAAGTTACTTACGTGTGTGAATTCACATGAAAATTTAGCCAAAATATCCTTGGATAGAAAGACAGATATAATTGTGACGTAGTACTCATACACTCTTTCTATATTTCGAAATCTTCATGAAAATTATGATATAATTATGAATTATGAAAATAAATTTCAATATTTCAAAAGGATCTGTTATTTTTTTTTCTTCATTTCAATGTACTTACACCGTTAAGCCGGTTTCGTGCTACCAAGCGACTTGTAATCTATGTACATTACCCAAAAATCAATCATTCAACATTGAACTACTGAAATGTTAAACAAACATAAAAACGATATTTGAAATTTTCTCATAATTTAATATAAAATACGCATGAAAACGTTACGAAGTACTACTTCTTTATCAAATGCTGGATTATTACTATGTGTAATTTTACAAAGTCAGTACTTATAGCTTTTTTCACCGAACATACCAGGTATGTTCTGTGACTTACCTACTTGGAATGAGGACCATAGAATTAACAAAAGGATCGTAAACCTGGAGATGAACACAGAAAATCAGTCAGGTATTCCATCTAAATGTAGGAAAGATACAAATATACAACTAAGATTTTCAAGAACAAATAGAGGAAATTTAAAATTTTTGAGAATAAAACATAAAATAGAATGTAAATCAACTAAAACTTAGCTAATCAATCTGATCTGCTTACTGGAATATTCTTATTGAACATATTAAGTAGAGAGCTAGTGTTAACCTATAACGGGCTATTGAGTAAAAGTCCCGAATCCTTCAATTTATTAATATGTAATGATTCTAGAAAATTCAGCTTGGAACCTTTATTCTCGTTTTTTAATATTTCAAAATCTGAACTAAATATATGACTTTCTTCTAATAAATGGTTAGCATAATGGGAATCTGTTTTCTTTTTCTCAGAACTACGCTCATGTTTCGATAATCTAATTAGTAAATTTCTGAAAGTTCTTCCTATATAAAATTTTTCACAACTGCCACATTCAATTTTGTAAACCCCACACAATTGAATTTTATTAATTTTTGATTTATTATTTTCGATCATTTTACCACTGTTATTAGTGGTCCGAAAAGAAATATTAATCTTATAGCTTGCTAAAAGTGATTTCAATTTTAAACTAGGTGAACCCATATATGTTAAAACACTATACATTGACTTTTCTTTAATAAGAGGATAAAATTTCGAAACCGCTCTTTTTTCTTCTTTCAACTTGATAAACAAAAACTTCCGAATTTTTTTGTTTATAAAGTTGTTTATTATTTCGGGTTGGTATTCTTTGTTTGAGGCTATTTGCGTATTCCAGCTTTTTTCTTTGTTGAAATCAACGTTCGAAAGCGGAAGGTTAACAAGTCTATGAACCATACTATTGAATGATGACATTTTTTGTTGTATTGGGTGAATTGAACTATTATGAATTAACTGTATCCGTGTGTGATGGTTCGTGATAAATAGAGAACGAATGTTTATTATCTAATTTTCTAATTGTTAGGTCTAAGAAATTGATTGAATTAATTATCAAGTTCTTCTTTTAATGTAAATTTTATTTTGGGGTGTATCGAGTTAATGTGATTTTGAAGTGAATGTAGTTGTCTTTTCGAACCTGTAAAGCGACAAATAATATCGTCAACATATCTGAATCAATATAGAAAACATTGGCTCAACGGATGGTCGTGGATAGTATGCTCTAAATTGTCCATGAATATATGAGCACTTAAGGGACTAAGCGCATTTCCCATTATAATACTGTACCAATAGCAGTACTGAAGGTCTGATAATGGGAAATCTGCTTAGTGCCTTATGTGCTGAGATATTCATGGACAATTTAGAGCATACCACGACCACGACCATCCGTTGAGCCAATGTTTTCTATATTGGTTCAGATATGTTGAGGATATTATTTGTTAATCTTAGTTGTATATTTGTATCTTTCCTACATTTAGTTGGAATACCTGACTGATTTTCTGTGTTCATCTCCAGGTATACGATCCTTTTGTTAAATATCAGTGTATTCAATGGTCCTCATTCCAAGTTAGTCATAGAACATGCCTGGTATGTTTTGTGAAAATAGCTATAAGTAATGACTTTAAAAATTTACAGATAGTATTAATCCAGCATTTGATGAAGAAGTAGTACTTCAAAACGTCGCTATACGTATTTTATATTTAATTATGAGAAAATTTTAAACACTGTTTCATTATAGATATTTATTTTCTCCAATTATCGGGCTCATCAATTATCAAACATAAAACCCTTGTTTTCATCGGGATTCGTACCCGATTCCTACCATATCTATAGTTGGGAGTTTTTCCGACTAAACCACGGAAGCGACATACATCTGTTATGTTTCTTTCCTCAACCAATATGATTCGATAATATAGAGTTGGCACCTGCATACAGCAAACATTCTAACAGAATATAATACTTGAGAAGTGCTTACCCAAAAAACATTTTGAAGCAAATCGAATTCATTGTCAATTTCAATGAGTAATCTTCCGTAGAAATAAATATTTCTGTTATGAAAGACTTAATAATTCAGAAGTACTCATGGAATACATATATATATATATATATATATATATATATATATATATATATATATATATATATATATATATATATATATATATATATATATATATATATATATATATATATATATATATATATATATATAGTTGAGAGTTTACGGTATTTACCTGAGATTTACGTTGTTTGTTTATTTGTAACAGCCGTTTACATATGTTTCAAGCTTATTGGCTCTCATCAGAACGGCGTAGTTCAAGTTATTAGATGTTACACACTTGAAAGTTGATTAAAAAGGAAAAACACAGAACAAAACAACACAAAATTCCACGTGAGGAATCTACATCATTTTTGGTTAAATCGAATATCTTGACCAAGCTTGTTAAAGCTATATTTTCAGACTGAATCGATGTCTACCTGCGATGAGATATTTATACCTTCTAGAATTTTGTACATTTTTGTAAATCTCAGGTAAATACCGTAAAATCTTAACTTCATTTTCAGCCTGACAAACCTTGTTTTTAATTTATAATATTGTCGGTACAAAATTCTAGAAGGTATGAATATCTCATCGCATGTAGACATCGATTCAGTCTGAAAATATAGCTTTAACAAGCTTGGTCAAGATATTCGATTTAACCAAAAATGATGTAGATTCCTCACGTGGAATTTTGTGTTGTTTTGTTTTGTGTTTCTCCTTTTTAATCAACTTTCAAGTGTGTAACATCTAATAACTTGAACTACGCCGTTCTGATGAGAGCCAATAAGCTTGAAACATATGTAAACGGCTGTTACAAATAAACAAACAACGTAAATCTCAGGTAAATACCGTAAACTCTTAACTTTATTTTCAGCCTGACAAACCTTGTTTATATATATATATATATATATATATATATATATATATATATATATATATATATATATATATATATATATGTGAAAGGAGTGATGCCGTAATGATGAAATTCTCAAAATATTTTTGGGTTATCGGCAAAGGTGGGCAGAACTAATTAAAACCACTAATCGTCAGTAATTCTATATTTCGAACGAATTTCGTTCTTCCTCAGGAATACTAAAAATATAGACAGGTGTTAATAAATCAGTTACAACTTGTAAAACAAGGGAAACCTACATCTGACACAAGTCAATAAGCCAACAAAAACGACACAAAAGGCATCAAATATTGATTATTATAATATTAAAATAATAAATGCAGCAGTGTTAAGGACGTACAAAACTTCAAAATCAAACTTATGGTCCAAAGAAAACGCATGATTCACCAGTGCGCATCTTTGTGGTTGCAATCTGGCATCACTTCTATGGATAGCTAACCTCCTTTTTAAGCATTGGGTCGTCTGGCCAATGTAATCTGCTTGCAATGTATACGATAAATGCAATCCGATATAGCTAGTGTTGACGTTTTGTGTTTCAACTTGCTTAACAGGCCACGAACGGGAAATAGGTTTTATCTGGCCACTTTTGTATTGGGAACACCACCAAGAGTATATGTCAACCTCTCTGTCAAACGTTCGACACAGCCGTGAAAACCTTCCTTCGACGACAACGAACATTTTAAAAAAATAATTGGCAAAATTGGTTCAAGCGTTGTTAAGTTATGCGCTTACCAACAAATTTTACGATTCTTTTTTATTTTACATATATATATATATATATATATATATATATATATATATATATATATATATATATATATATATATATATATATATATATATATATATATATATATATATATATATATATATATATATATATATATATATATATATATATATATATATATATATATATATATATATATATATATATATTTATTCATACATATATATTATTATTATAAAGATTGTTCCCAATGAGGAGAGCGATTGAACTTGAATTCACAATTTTTAGGGTTTTTGTTTGATCTTTTTTCTTCCAAAAACATTTCATCCTCACGGAATGATCTTTTTTCCGTTCATCTGTCCATTTTATTTCAGGTTGGCCTGTTGATTTTTGCACAAACTTCACATGTACGTTTTTGTAGCGACCTCCAGTGCGATCTTCGAGATTTTTCATGTTGATCTATTGTAGATCTTTCTGGATCTCTTTCACCCACTCTGTTCCACATTTACTCTTTATATTTGAATCGATTTTTCCGTTCAAATCGAGTATTGCACAGAAATGTATGTATTGTAATATATAATTGAATTGCAACAAATCGAATACTTCTTTGTTCTTAAAAATTCATCGTCTCATATCGATGAACTGAAAGATTCATCTGAATTGTTGATGACAAGTTGAATTAATACAGTTATTACTCCATTGTTCACTTCATCTCTGAATGTTTTGCAAAAAAAAGGATAATTCGAAAAAAGTCTCATTTAGATGTTCACAGAGTTCAATAATTTCTTCAAAAATAACGAAGTCAAAAAGGATATTATTATGTCATGTGACTCCACTGTTCTTCTTTAAATGTTAAATGATTAAAGAGTACTTAAAAACCTGTTATTTCCATATTTCAAATAAACTTTGATCAAAGCAGTTTTTTCATTAACCGATTCTGTGAATATTATAAGGTTATAAATATCAATGAGAAATGTACATTCACTAATTGTCCAATTTTATCGTTGTAAAATCTTTCGTACTGAAGATTTTATGTAAAATTGAATTTTCAGTTAGTAAGAAGAATCAATAAAACTGAAGGAAATTATTTTTTATCATTTTCACAATTCGAAATTACTCACAATTCCTAGATGAAAAACGAAATGGATTCAACTGTTTGAAAATTAAAGTAATTCAGCCTGACTCGTGGTTTGATTAAAATGGGAAAGAAAATACTTGTTTTCAAAGGGTGTTTTTTTTAGAGATACAGAACTTTAAATTGCAATAAAGGAACGATGGATCATTCGATTGCCTAGAGTTTTTTTTTATTCGAAAGATAATCTTGTGGCATTACATTTGAATTATAACTTCTGGTATATGACTGCTACGGCTGGCTCGGATGTAGTCCAATCTAGACGTCCAATTTTCGATGACTTTCTTCAACATTTGTGATCGAATATCGGCAATAACACGGCGAATATTGTCTTCCAAATGGTCAAGCGTTTGTGTCTTATCCGCATAGACCAATAACTTCACATAGACCCACAGAAACTAGTCTAGCGGTGTTGAATCACAAGATCTTGGAGGCCAATTCACAGGTTCAAAACGTGGAATAAGGCGGTCACCAAACGTGTCTTTCAGTAAATCGATAGTGGCACGAGCTGTGTAACATGTTGCGCTGTTTTGTTGAAACCACAGCTCGTGGACATCATGGTTGTTGAATTCAGGAGAGAAAAAGTTAGTAGTCATGGCTTTGTACGGATCACCATTGACTGTAACGTTCTGGCCATCATCGTTTTCGAAGGAGTACGGACCAATGATTCCCCAAGCCCATAAAGCACACCGAACAGTCAGTTTTTCTGGATGTAACGGTGTTTTGACATACACTCGATGATTATTTTCACTCCAAATGCGGCAGTTTTGTTTGTTGACATAGCCATTCAACCCAGAAGTGCACTTCAATGCACAACGGCAATCTCGTTTTGGGCCCATTTTACGAATCTACGCCTTGCTTGATGATCGTTTGGCTTCAATTCTTGCACGAGTTGGATTTTGTTAGCACGCAAACCAAGATCCTTTCGCAAAACCATAAAGTAGATGGACACAGATTCAATTCCTGTGCTCGATGGCGGATGGGCTCATTGTCTTGGGGTCTTCCTCAATGCTACGCTCTACAGTAGCAATAGCTTCTTCTGCACCGTACGGCGTCTCTGGACTTTCAGGTAAATAAAACGTAGTAGCAATAGCTTCTTCTGCACCGTACGGCGTCTCTGGGGATGCGAGTTATCAATAAGAGTAAACGTGGTGCGAAAACGTTCCATGGTTAATCTAATTAACTGCTCTGATGAACGATTTTGTCGACGATAAAATGGACGTAATGCGCGATACGTATTCATCACAGAACCATTGACAAACCAAACTGAGAATAAATCACTTCTCAGCTGTTAAATCGGTCGCCATCTTCAACAGTTATGCCAACTTAAAATTCGATACCTCTGAAAAAACATCCTTCAATGCCGGGGATCATTAGAAGTTCTGATATGGAGGTCAAAATCGTAATTTTATTAAAACTCATTTGTTACAAGTTGTGGGCCAATAACATTTTTTTTAATTTTAGGCTATGGCATATCTTTCGACATTTGCCAGCAGGTTAGGTGTGGATCAATAACTTATGACTTTATACAGTAGTTTACTCAGTTACAAAGTTCCGCCCTTTAGAAACGTCAAGTTTGAGCTTTAATGCATATTTTTTTTTATTTTTTCAAAGTTTATTGTCGCCTCAACCATAAGGGCCATTATTAGCGACGGACGGTAGTGTTTTGAATACAGTAATATCGTTTGGTTAACCTATAAGGAACCTAATTATTAGGCATATAACTCGATTCGAAATGTATTATGTATCTATTTCATATAAAATACTCCTGACAACCTACACAGGAAAGTAAACTTATTGAAATATATTTTGATACAAATCTGAGACGAACATTGAATAAATACGCTAGAACAAATATTTGTCTAAATTTCAAATGTGATTATACGTGCTTCTTGAAATTGACGGTGAAGTAGTTTTTTAATGACGTTAGTAATTTTTGTCTTAAGTTCTTGAAAAATAGTTACATAGAAGAGACTATCGGAGGGACCGATTATTAGATGGGCTACATCAATGAAAATATTACAAATTGGGCCACCAAAAATCAA